GCGCCAAAGGATTTATTTTGGACTGCATCGGCAACTTCCATTGCTTTGGGCCCGGCGAGACCAATTTGGAACTGGGGTGCCACTCATCACTTGTGGGAGTTGCCAGAGCAAGCAAGGACCTCTCAATAATTGTTGAGCTTCACAGCGCTGGTGAAATCTATTCAAAACATTTGGGAGCGTGGTTGGTATTCAAGATTCAACTTGGCTTTCTTGAGTGAGCCGGTCGGCATCGAGGGACACTTCACTCAAGGTCAGTTAATGACTCAGACCCCTCATTCCCCACGTGAAACCACACTTTGCTTGCCCCATTTCAATTTCCTTGAATATTCAGTTGAAAGAAAGAAAKGCTGGTTTGTGTGTGCTCAAACGTGAAAAGGGAAGTGTTGTCTGACCCCGGGTATTCCTGCCTACTCTTGGAATCTGTCTTGGCTTTGTACCTTGTTGCAGGCAATGGGAGAAAAAGCTTTGCATGTTCAATGAAGGCTAGGGTCTTGTAGGCGTGACACTCCACCTATGAAATGCTTAAACGCTCCTTTGTTTATTTTTTTGGTTCGCAAGATCCTTGGTCGATTGAGGGTCACGAGGGGAGGATCTTGTCATTAATTATGCCTTCCTTTATTTGGTTAGGCGGCCTCCGCTTTAGGAATTCATGATATGGGCCGTCAATTATATTGCTACAAAGCGATCCTCGCCTATTACCCACGACAAGAATTGTAGGACGCGGTGAAACGGGTCGACGAGGCTCCTCTATTTTCACCTTTCTTTCTTGAACTATCCCGCGCATAGGAAATAGCTCCAATGAGCATGCACCTGGCGACCACCACGGAAGGAAAGGTAGCTTCCAACTCCCATAGGCCTTGTGGAAACTAAGCAGCGATAGGAATCGCCCTACATTTAGCCTGCGCACGCTCGGTGTCATTCTATATAAATAGCTCAGCCTATCATATATTTTACTTCACTACAAGGTTTTTGTGTTGCCGGTTCCTTTTCTAGGAGAACGACGAAAGTTAGTTCGTCGTGGCCTCCATCGCTTATCGTGTCGAGGCTTGGACAAGGCAGTAAGTCGGCCAGCCGGAGAAATGAGGGCGAGGGTGACAGACAACACGGGTGCCGCGAGCAGTTCTGCCTCGAGCAGTTCGCGTCGAAGGTTTGCGATTGTCGCCACCATCATGCTGTTTCCAAGCAAGACGGAGGCAAGGGCGTCTGCTGTAGCCGTGGGAGGATTTAGGCAAGGATGGACGAGAGTCGGCCGCATGGTCTTCCATCCCGTGGACGTCTTCCCGACCGAGGTGGAGCTCAAGGAAGACCAAGGAACCCTTGAGGACCCGCCAAGGATTTACGCTTTTGTGATAACGCTCATGAAGTTGGTACTAAGCGTTGGGGTTTGCCCCCTTAGGAAGACGCATTGGTTCAACGTCGGGGTCGTCTACGACGTCGTGAACAAGTCTATCCACCACAAGTTTGAGGACGAGATCATGTGGTTGTCCCTGCGCATTATGCGGAACCACCACGCTCGGCAGGGGCCATTCATATACATCGAGCATTACGATCGTGTGGGACCGTATGATGTCGGATTCCGAGTCGCGGAGAGATGTGACGATGAGGCCTTCCAGCGGCAGGAGGAGAATTTGCTAAAACTCTTTCGTATTTGATGATGGAGCTTTGTGATGCAGGATGGTTGGAGCTCGGCGCGACCTGACGATCCCCAGGTATCTCCTGATTCGAGATACAAACGATGCAGGCCGCATCGCCGGGGTGGAGAGGGTGGAGAGGGTGGCGATGGTGTTCGATGAGACTCCGACTTGATGGATCGGCTTTATCGGAATCGTCAACGACGGACGTGGGTTTTTTTCGGAAGAGCGATCAGAGATTCGACCGAACGTGATTCGGCGTCCGAACGATTTGCAGGGGCATACATTGTATTTTCATCGTGTCTCGAACATGGAGTTTGTCTCTTGAGTCACCGCTGGACGACTGTTCAGACGATCCGGAGTGCCAATGGTGTTCCTTTGGCTTCGAGACACTTCCGCCCGACACCTTAAGCGTCTCGGTGTACCTTTCTGGTCCGTCCTGTTGACATTGGTGCGACGAATGGCGGAGCTCTACAGCATGAGCGACCTACGACTACGATGGCAAGGACGACTGCGGAGGATGGCGATTAACGAGGCATTCATCCGGCGACATACCCGGCTAGACAGACGCGCTCGGGCGACTCACACGCTTTACGGCCGCTAGGAGTCGTCCACCCTCTATAGGTCCCTCTAGAGTGGACCGTCCAGCGGAGGGTAGCGAGTTAGACTCCAAAGATCGGATCATCACGCTTCGCCCTCGAGAGGGCTAAACCATGATAAAACTCAATAGTGCCGACCAAGAAAACATGGTCAGCCCACCTCTATGATTATCATTTCTCCGCGATGAGTTTCGCTAGTGTCATGATGAGGGGTGAAGGCGGCATATAAATTTTGTTCCCTTTTTTTGTATATATTTAAGATTGATGGTCGTTCGCAGTTAGGGGATGGCCCCTGTACTAGGAGGGACGCAAGTGGTTTGGGATAAGAGGGAGTCAAAGGAAAAATAATAGGAAATGTCTTGGGTACATCGCTACAACGCGGAGTTGTTTTTGCAAAGTTTGATTCAGTAAGTTCCAGTCTCTGCAAGTTGTGACCGTCGACGGTGTCGAGGAGGTGATCCATTTGTCAGCTTTCACGTACATCAATTGTGGAACGCTCTTGAAAACTTTCCTTTCAACTTTATGAGATAGTGAAAACAAAGGCATGTTCTCTGTCATCATACCTGCTAAAGATTGTTGTTTCCGCCTTTGGCATGATTCGCTACCTGCATGCTGCATTCGTACATCTTCGTTTGCAACCTCTATGTGCCTTGGCTGTCATGTATGTGCTTTTGGTAACGGCTTCAAAAATGTTTGGTTGTAACGCTCATGTGCCTTAATGCGACATCTATGCGTAAATTGGTTACGACTCTCGCGTGATTGTTAGCAACATCTGTTTGTGCCGTGGTTGTTTACGTTCATGTGTTTAATTGTAACGTCTGAATGTCTCGTGTAACCCATTTGTGTGTTTTCTGCTGCAATGACACTGTCCTCCGGAAGACGTCTTTATAAAAGGCTAGGAGTGACTTCGATGGGATTATTCTGTATTCACCTATAAGAATTGTCTGTACTACGGCGAAACGAGCAAAACGCCCCTGACTGGTCTACCTCTGCGATTGCATGTAAAAACTTTCGTACGTAGATCAGTAGCTCAGTAGGGATACGCCTCTCAGGATGGTGACAGCTCCTCAGGGAAAACGAGTTGTGCCTCGCGAGACCCTGACCTGTCGTAGGGGAACACGAGAAGTACGACTGGCGCACCCGGCTAGAGCGACAAAACCCCGTCATTCACCTTGATGAATTTTGGGGAAAGCATTGCGACTCTAAAAAGAAAAGTATCCAACTCTTGTGTGATGCGGCCGGGAGGTCCCCTTTTATGCGCTACGATGCGAAGGGGGGCTGTTGCGTCCGACAGGTGGTGCCGTTGTCGGGGATGACGACTATCTACCGTTGTCCCTGGCGGAACGACACTTGGGTAAGGTAATCCCAAATAATTACCTTGTATTATTATTTAACGGTTTCCTCTCGAAAGGACAAGTGGAATTATCATGACAATGACCCTAGTACGACTGAGATTGTGAGATAATAACAACTCGACATGGATGGGCCATCCCGACCGGTCAGAAACCGCATAATGCAATGAGTTTGATAAAAATCTTTTCTGACTCACGTATCTGATTGTGATCGTTGTTCCTCCTGACACTTCACTCAAGATGAGGAGCCCCAACCTCACTGAGAACGATAGTCTGGGCGACGAAAGGCGTAATGACATTCAGGAACTCGCGAGGCTTATCCGACAAACCACCACGTCACATGAGAAGTTTCCGAAAATCAAGGTTCCTCTGTTCGATGGGTAGAATGTTACGGACTGGCTAGAAAACTATGAGTTGAATGCTCATGTGCGTCAATGTATTGAATGAAAAATGTTGGAAGTAGTAAAACGTTATGTGCACGTTGATCTTGCAGAAGAAGTTGGCGAGCTGGCATGTAGGACACGAATCTGGAAAACATTCCGTGAGCGAATGTTGGAAAAATAACAGCTAGGAGACATATTGTTAGATGTGTCTGACCTTCGTAAAGTGAGTTGGGAGAAATTTGGGACGATCGAGGGATTCCTAAAGAGGTTTGAGAAGGTGGCTAAGAGGGTACCCGATCTTCCCGATAAGACGAAATGCATTATCTTTCTGACCAACTTCACGGAAGTCGAGCAAAGAGAATTGATGAAGGGTTTTACTACCAGGTACGACTAGAATAAAATAAAGGAGAATCTTAAGGTCGGTGACTTCGACCAAATGCTTTATCATCTCCTGCGCAGACAAAAAAAAATGCAGGAGGATGAGCTAGTAAGTTGTGATAAAGATAAGGAGATGTTCGGAGCGATTATGGATGTTAGGATGATGATGAAAGAAATGAGGAAGGAGGGACCGTGTGGCAAGGTACTGACGGTGAGGCAACAAGACGGTAAGAGAAAAGGAAAAGAGAGGGAAGAAGAGTTCGACGAGGAAGGTAGTGAAAAAAAAGTAGAAGAAGAACTTCCTCGGAAAGCGACGAAAGCCGAACGAAAGGCCATGAATCAAACACGGGGAGGACAAGGTACGAATGGAAGGCAAGCCAAGAATAAGAGTGGCCATGGGAATGATAATTGTGATACTATCAATCAGCATCAGAGACAATCTCAAGATACCGAGCTCCGACAATTTCGGTCGCAAGGCGGAGGAGGCCGGGGGCGTGGTCGGGGAGCTTCTGGTGGTCGCGGTTACGGTAATAAGGATTAAAATTGTAATTACTGTGCACAAAGAGGGTATAGCGTCCGATACTGTCAGACCCTCGCTAAAGATGAGGAGGATTGGATTATGTACACGAACATTCGAGGCGAGGTGTTCGATTTCGAAGGGAACCTTATCGATTCATACATAAAAGGAGAAATGAGGAAGGAAGCGTTTCGACGCATGAAGCGGACCATGCCCTGCACTTACCGGTTGGCCTCGAAAGAGGAAATGGAGATTCTTGAGTCTAGAGAGACTGCACGCCAGACAATTTTTAGTAGGCTTGATGTTAGTAAGGGCAAGACCAAAAAGGAGAAGGATGTGCGAAGAGTCTTAAGCTCGAGGAGCGGTTTAAAGGCATTTGGAGGCCAACTTATGAGACAGGGTCTCGACATGGAAAGAGTTTGGCCTGGCGTGCCGAAGATGTTTCTGCTCGGTGGACACGATGGGAGAAGGGACGTGGCTCCTTTGGAGGCGTCTCTGTCAGCATTACGTACGGAGAAGCCGTCATTGTCCCACCTTCATACGGCCTCTGCAGGAACGCGTTCCGTCTTGAACAGGCCCATCCTCCGAAGAGGAACGTCACCAACGGTCCCTCAAGCACAAAAGATTAAGAAGGGAAACCAACCTCGAGTCGCGCCCGTTGTCAGTGCGGCGAAGGCGCAACAAGAGGCGCCGGTAGTAATTGTGGAAGAAGACTTGGACACGGAAGATGAGAAATTAAAGGCGGAGGACGAGCGTCAGGCAAGGTTACACGCCCAAAAACGAGGTCTAGATGAGAATCAAGATAAGAAAAAGGATGAGGGAGAAGAGGAAGAGCACCAGAAGAAGAAGAACTGGTACACAATTTCGATTGAGGAAGGGATCGACATTGAGAAAATGGTGGATCGGATACTTGAGAGCCATCAAGATTTGGTAACACTCAAGGAATTTTTGGCAGCCTCGCCAAAGATTCGGGAAGAGCTTAAGCAAAGACTAACTCGACGAAAAGTGATGACGGTTAAACTAGGGGAGTTAATCCCACCTGAGGCAAATTGGACTCCTGCGGGAGCAAAAATGGATTGGAGGTGTGTAGCGACTCGGCACGTAATGGTCAAGATAGGTGTTTCACAACATCTTGCGCTCGTTGACACCGGAGCAGAGATGAACATACTAAGGGAAAAAGAGGCGCTAGAGTTAGGAGTTGAGATTGATCGCACTGATAATGGATTTCTGGTTGGCGCCGAAGGGTCGACACCCTTCTGTGGAACTGCCAGTAACGTCAATATACATATCGGCAAGGTTAAGGTACGGTCTTATTTTTACGTTTTGCCACTGGTTGAGCATGGGGTGATGTTGGGACGGTCATTCTTATGTCAATCAGAGTCCATCATGATCAATAAGCATGATGAGACGATGTTCATAATACTGTGCGGTCCAGTGTGTGGACACTTCGAGGTGATCAAGTGCTCGAACACCGGGTCTAAGAATTCAAGGAACAGGTTGAACCCTGGATCCTATAGCTTCGAGGAAGCGGAACATTGGTAAGAGAGCAAGAGTCATACGGGGAGGACGATGGTGAGAAACTGAAAGAGTTTTCCTTAGCCCTTCCGGATGTCTCACAAGCTTTGGATTTCGTTTCAGCCCACTCTGAAATCGACCGAAACCTCGTACAGACGCTAACTGAAATCGTGTCTGAAGGTGGTGGCACGGGGAGTATGTTCTTAACATACCAACCTAGCACCCAGTCGGTTGGTGAGGAAGGTGTGGTCTCCCAAGCTAAGAAAGGGTCTTTTTTAGAGGAGGGAGACTTAAAGTTGGGTCAAAGCGGCGGTATAAGAAAGTAGCCGACAAAGCCAAGCCTGTCCCCGTCGTGGTCACTCACGACGAAGAAGTATATTACAAGGAAGAGAGAGAGTGGGTTGTGGCGATGAGAGAAAAAGGTGAAAGAGAGTCGTGTCGTCTGACATGAGAGAATTAAGGAGATGATCATTGGAGAAGAGGGCTTCCTGACAACGGAAGAGAGAAACCTCATGATTAATATCATGAAGGGGGAACACTTGGCGTATGTTTTTAATGACGATGAGAGGGGAAGATTAGACGTCGATAAAATCCCGATGATTAGGATACATACGGTACCACACCAACCTTGGAATATAAGGGGGCCTCGCTACCCTAACCCGGATGACCATCGAAAGGTTGTAGACTACCTAGATGGAAAAATCAAGACGAAGGTAGCCGACTACTCCTATGGACCATATGTGTCTCCATGGTTTTGTTTTGTCAAACCTAACGGTGTCTTACGGTGGGTACAAGACTTGCAGAGATTGAACGCGGTGACGGTTCGGGATGCCGGTGGGCTTCCAAACGCGGATCAATTGTCTGAGGCCAGCACCGGTAGACCCATCATCACATTGATTGATCTTTATTCTGGCTATGATAAGTTTCCCTTATACACGGCTGATAGACCTATGACGGCAATGCATACGCCTAGGAGGTTGGTTCACATGTGTTTCGCGCCTCAAGGTTAGACTAACGTCGTCACAATCATGCAACGATATATGATGAAGGTTATGCAACCGCTTTGTCCGGACGTGACCTCACCATATATCGATGACTTGTCGATTCTAGGACCAAGGGAAAAGGATGAATCTGAAGTGAAACCAGGCATACGTAAGTTTGTTTGGGATCACATTCACGACATCAAGAAAATTCTGGCTAAGTTGAAGGAGTATAATCTCACGGCGAGTGGAGTAAAATCCAGACACTGCATGAGTGATGCTACGATCTTGAGATTCCTATGCGACAAAAAAGGTCGTCGACCGGATACCAAAAAAACGAATAAGATCTTAGAGTGACCTACTTTGCTTATGTCTGTTAGTGAGATAAGGAGTTTTCTCGGGACGTGTGGGTTTTGGAGGATCTTCATCCAACATTTTGCTGCAAGGGTGGAGCACTTACGCATGCTCGTGCGTAAGGGGCAAAATTGGGAATGGGAACCGGATCAACAGAAAGTTGTTGAGGACATAAAGGCTGAGTTTCGCGAGGGAGGAATGGTGCTCGGGTTCCATGCTTCGGTAACGACCCAGAGCGACCATTCATTATTGAAACCGATGCAGAACTTACAGCTCTAGGAGGGGTCCTTATTCAAAAGGACGAGAGCGGGATCGAGCATCCATTAAGGTTTGAAAGTCTGACCCTCAACCTCACAGAGCGAAACTATTCTCAGTTCAAGAGAGAGACTTTGGCAGTACTTTATTGCTTGAGAATTTTTCGCAATTATGTTTTTGGTCGGAGGTTCGTCTTGAGGGTTGATCCAATTGCCTTGGCTCGGTCATTAAGAAATTATTCCCGTTCCAATCCGACGATCGCAAGATGGCTTACTTACATTTGGATGTTCGATTTTGAAGTCGAGAGGATAGCCGGCGTGAAGAATCGAGCAGACGGGCTAAGTAGAATCGACTGGGGCAACTCCAAGATTCGAGCAGAGGACTCTGTGCCTGTTGATGGATTTCTGGAGATCGAGGAAGGTCAGCTAAGTATAAATTCTTACCATTATCTGGTTGATGCGTCCTACCGACAAGGGAGGTCTATGTGGAACGCTCCCAACTTTTATCAAGTTCGTCCTGAGCTGGTGAAAGAGGAGCCGTTTATCGAGGAGGATCCATGGGGTGAGAGGTCCGGTGAGCAGATGATGAGCCTCACATTCTCTGACTCCGTTCGGCTGTCGGAAGACCCCTTATCAATTCAAGAAGGTTTCCGACATGCCGATGAGGTCCTCAGAGTATCTGGCGGGACGTGTTTTGTGATCAACGCATTAATTGAGGAAGATTTGCGGGCATTGGTACCAACTGACGAGGACGGTAGGATGAATACTACCTTCGGTATCCTTTCATCCGCGAAATCGTGATGGACCGCGGTGGTGAGTTCCGAGCGAAAGAAGTTCGAACTCTCTCAGGGAGATTCGGCGTTAAGTACCGATATACCACGAGGTCGCATCCGCAGGCGAACGCTCCGGTTGAGCGGGAGCACTCGACCCTCACAAACTTGTTGGCTAAGTGGTATGTTGGGAAACCTTCTAGGTGGCCGGTGTACCTTCGGACAACAATGTTCGTCGAAAATATCACCGTGAAGAGAAGGACTGAGTATGCCCCGGCAACTCTTTGGTTTGGACGACACGTAACTTTTCCGATTGAGAGTCTCCTGACAACATGGCAAAGGCAAGACTTAGAGGCTAACCTCTCATTGGAAGAGCTACTTGACCTAAGGGCCAGACAGATCATGGCCACGGAGAAAAGGATTGAAGAGGCCGTCGCTTCGACTGCAGCAAGTAAAAGGGCAGACAAGGAGAGATGGGACATACAGCCGCGGGTCCGCAAGGAACCCTTAGAAGTCGGTGATGTTGTCCTTCTCTATGACTCTTCGTTGGAAAAACAATGGTCGAGGAAGTTGGATAATAGGTGGTTGGGACCTTATCGCATCCTCAAGAAATCGGAACACGGAGCGTATGAGGTCGAAAAACTTAACGGAGCTCGAAGACGGGATTGGGTTTCAGGATCGAAGTTGAAGAATTTCATACAGAGGGTATGAGTGAGGTAAGGATCGAAACGCTTTCACCTGAGTTGAATACATTTCTGCGTCATTGTCTGGTGATTATTTGTTTAGTCAATCGAGTTGTGCCTTCAGTGAAAACTGATGGGTTTCCTTTTTTTCTTTTCTGACTGTCCTTGTGGCGACAGGGAGGGAAAGAGGAAGTGAAGCTACAGTTCGAGATGGCATCGAGCTCTCGCCAAGACAAGGTTCAGAAGATGGTGCGGACCGCGATTGCTCGCTTATCCGAGAGGTTGGCAACTCAAGAGAAGGAAGTTCCTTTGTTCATGGGGGATAATGTGGAAGAGTTCATTGATCTTTTCACGAAACTCACTAACAAGGAACGATGGACTGAGGATCAGATAAGAGACCAAGTAGCTTGGTACTCGAACGAATACTGGAGACCTGTTGTTGCTATTTTTGCAGAGGCGTCAGGAAACTGGGTCGAATTCGTTGCGGTCATAAGAGATACCTTTAACTTTGGAAGTATGGAGAAAAAAGGTGACCAAGCCATGATATAAATCACTCCTGTAGAGACTCAGGCTAGAGCCGGAGACACATCGATTACGGAGCTACTGACAGGTATCATTGAATGACTCGATGAGCTAGATTGTCGTATTACCCGTCTAGAAGGGGCACAGGGAAGGAAATATTATGGGTCGCAGCCAACCACAGCCTCGGTAAAAGGGAAGGAGAAAGTGGTTGAGCTTGCCTCGAGAAGTACTCAGAGGAAATCTCTGGAGGGAAGACCTTCACAACAGTCGAAGACAGGATCCTTGGTAATCAAGGAAGGAAGCTTGTCGCAGGCGAAAAGAAAAGACGGAGTGTCGGAGTCCATGAAGGTTGCTAGGCCGGCACCTCAGAAAAGCGTAATTGTTGGAAGCAAGAGAGAGAGGGTCACATTGTCTAGCGATGAGAAACCGGCAAAGATTGCCAAAGACGATTCCTCGGCCCGAGAGAGAGGAAACGCACTTAGTACGGAACAACGTAGCGAGGTTTTGAGGAGCGTTCTTAGTCCTCCGCTGTCTAGGTCGAATGGTAAAACGAACTCTCTGAGGACAGAGGAGACACCATTATCGGGACCTCCCTTCTGTGTCGTCTGTCAGAGAACGGGTCATAAGACTAGAGATTGCCAAGTTCTTAGAGAGGAAACCAGATTGGAGCCGTAATATAATTTTAAGGCTATATATAAATATGTATACCTATAGTATATATATATATATATATATATATATATATATATATATATATACCAAAGTTTTTGTTATTAACTCTGTTTGACTCCATGTTTTGACTCAGTTGACTGATATGAAAAATGTTGGACATTATCAATTAAATTCTCTGTTGGAACCTAATAAGGTAAATTAGTTGGATGTATTTTGACCATACGGTGCAAGTTTGAAAATTCTAAGAGGAACATTGGTCGTTCACTTTGAATTCTTGTTCATTATTAAATTGGTATTGTGGTGCTGCATTTCCTGCAAACTAGATGAATTGATTGTTTGAGGACTTCATGAAAGATCATTTTTTGCTATGAATGTGAATTGAAACATATATGTTGATGTTGCCGCTCTCCGAAAACTGAAGTGGGAAAATGACTTGGAATAAGAACTTCTGATGAATGATTTCTCTCGAAACGGGTGGGGTCCAGACGTTATCTGAACATCTCCTGACGGTTGCATTGTGGGAGGCTTGTCAGGGGCTATACCTGGCTCATTTGGGGTTTGCTGAGGTTAAAACGAGTCTTCAACAAGGGGATATTACCCGACATCCATTATTGTAGTACAATGCCAATATCCTCGAGGGACATGGGAGGCCCAGGTTGAATTCCTGGCGGCACGATTAAAAAAGTGTCGAGGTGTGGTGTTTGCATCCCTATGGCTCAAAAGAGACCGAGTTGGGATCCCGGCAGTAATGGATGTTTCCTCAAGAGAACTATTCAAACAACCTGATGGATGTCGATTGCTTACTAGCCGGAGGTTGCATCCGGTACCACTCAGAGAGACTAATGTTGTTTTGGACGCCGGTGGGGTGATACCGGAACCATTCTGAAGGGAGACATATTGGTTTTAGGCTTCCAGAGGCTGAATCTGGACAGTATTCCAAGTTCGAAGATTTTGGCTAGCCAGAGGCTGAATCTGGTATCATTTCAGTAATTGGTTTTATGCTTTCAGAGGTTGAATCTTGACACTATTCCAAGTTCAAAATTTTTGGTTAGCCAGAGGCTGAATCTGGTGCCGTTTCGGTAACTGTTTGAGGTTAACTGGGGGCTGAACCCAGTAAATCATGAGAGGGTTGTGTTTTAGGTTACCAAGGGCTGAATTTGGTTTCATCCAGAAACACTTTCAATTGTTTTATGCTTCTGGAGGCTGAATCCCGTTTTGTATTGGGAGCATGTCTGAATTTAAGATGGGTTGTCCTTTAGAATGAGGGACATGCGTGCTTTGAGAGACCTTGATACTTATATGATTGGAAACGCCAAAGCGCACACAAAATTATCTACCTATGTATAAATCCTAAACGACGAGGACGTCGTTTAATGGGGTCCGGGATGATTGTCGGGGAAGAAACCCTTACAAGGGTATCTGCCGGTGTTTTGACAGCTCACAGGAAGGCACCATCCTATCCGTAAGATGACGGGGCGCCGGTGAGCGAAAAAGGAACGAAGTGAAGATAATCCGCCACGGCGCGGCAAAAGATTTCATGGGTATCCCAACCTCTTGTACATATTTACATTTCTTTTCTTATCGGGAATTGAGCCCGCGTCTGTCTTTTCTAAATCTGTTACTCCGACTCTAGGGTTGGGCACCCAAGTGGTTGTAAAAAAGGCAGTTGACGCTACAAAGACATATTGCGGCAGAAACTACTAAAGGAAGGAAGCCGCAACGACAGGGGCGTCAGGGCTATCATTCCCCTTCGCCCCCACCATCAAAGCAATGTGCGGCAACCTAAACAAAAGGTTGCCGCGCGGCCCATCGGCCACGCGATTCAGGGTCCATCGAAGGAAAAGACCAACGTTATAAACACTTGATGCACGATTGCAAAGGGAGGCGCTCGAATTAAAGACCTGACCAAAAAGACTATTGAAGAGAACCTACCCTGCCTCAATCCCTATAAAACTCAACCTCGCTCCTACACCATGCGTGTGAGCCATGCCGTTTAGCTAGACTAAAGTGGGCCTCCAGGTTATATGAGAGAAAGTCACGGAAATAGGCGCGTCGAGACCAAGCATTTCCCAGCGTTCCTACCACTAGGACAATGAGCGACAACCTAAAAAGAATGGGGTCGGAAAGGCACGATGACGAGGAAAGCTAAGGGCTAAAGTTAAAAATTTATCTAGGAAAAACTACCGGTAAAAGCCTAACCCCCGCACCGGCGTTATACCTACCTACCCTACTGCCCAAGCTAAGCTAAAGGTGTGTGGGCGGTGCAAGGGGGGAAGCGCTAAGTAGAAAAAGGGCCTAAGAAAACATGCCTCGGGAAAGTTAGTGGGGTACCGGGCGTGTATCTTCCTTATAGGAAGGGCGCTCCTACCTGTACCGTACTAGAAGCTAGCCCAGTAGGTTTGGAGGTGGGATGATAGGCAGCAGATATATAGATCGAACTCACCCCGCCCGCCGGGCTAGCTCCCTTGTTTTTAGCAAGGCCGCTGAGAGCGAAAGGAAGTCACTAATAAGACTTCACGCCTACCAACTCAAGTACCTACAACGCTCCTCCCTACACCAGGAAAAGAGCTAGCCCAATGGGTCTGCGGGTGGGCCGGCAACCACTAGATACTAGGATCGAGCCCACGCACGCCATGTTTTAGCAAGCAATAGGAAGGCCGAAGGCGGCCGACTCATCGAAGGCACAGGGCGGCATCCGCCACGCCGCCTGGGAAATCGCACAGACGAAGTCCGCCGCTAAAAACAAACAACTTCTAAAAGTCATCCTCTGAGGCGTGGACTCGATCTGCGGGCAGCAGAGTGAGGGGAGTGGAAAAGACAAAATGGAAAAGGGAAATCGAAGCCGAAACGACTCAAATTTCTCTCCAGCGTGGCCGCACGCAGAGGATTCGAACCGCGGGCAGCAGGGGAAAATCCGTGTTAAAAAGAAGATGAATGAAATAAAACAAAACAAAAAATGAGAAAAAGAAAAAGAAAAAGAAAACAAACAAAACTCAGAAATGCCAAATGACGCGTGGGAAAACGACGCGCAGAATTTTGACTCAGCAGGGTTGCAACGGGACCCGTTTTAATCGGATCTCTGTTTGTTTTTTTTATATTATTTTCGTTGTTAGTCATTCGCGTTTTCCTATGGCCGCCCATATCGGTGGGAGTGTATCTCCCCATGTTCTAGCAGAATATTCACTCCCCTTTTGCATGTTA